GCAGTCAGAGGTACCTGCGGGTGATGTTGGGTTTCTGTCGGGGTTGTGTTTGGATGAGAAGCAGAACTTGTGCTGCGTTTGTGTTCCTGGGGACACGAGTCACGGGCTGGTTCACTGACCTGTTCCCGGTATCCCAAGCGAGCTGGTGCCTCCTCTTCCTCCTCCTCCCCACAGCCACCTCCGGGTGCTGATGACCCCATCCCCTCCCGTCCCAGCCTGTCCCCCCGAGCACTGGGCTGCTTGGGGCACGCTTTGGGTGGGTGAGCCCCCGTTAGTCAATTTTTGCCTACATGTGGCAAAAGCAGCTTCTATAAAAAGGGCCGGACCACTGGAGCATGCATAAACAGCTCACAGAAACTATCACCGCATCCGAGAAGGCGCAGCGCTGCTCCGGGGCTTTGTGAGGCCGCTGCCGCGTGCTGCAAATTGATTGCTCTGAGCTGCGTATTTCAGCCATTAGCGACGGGGCCAGCTGGACATCTTTCAGCAGGAAGAAGTGTCAGGAGAAAATGCCGAGCTGCCTGCTGTACCACGCCATGCTCCTCGGGCTTCCCGCCCGGGGGTCCCACCCCGCGGGGCTGCTCCCGGCACCGCGACCACCGCAGCCTGGGGGCCGGGCGGGCTCGGCAGGGTGTCCACGGGCATAAATCTCTTTTCTAACAGCTTTACTCAGCACTAGTAATGGCACAGTAGAATCCTCTGCCATTTGCTAACAGTTGCCATATATCCATTTTTAATGACCAGAGTTAAATTTCACCGTACTTCAGGCTGTGCAGACCCAAGTTTTAAAGACAATAGTTACCCGCTGCGACGCCGCTGAGATTTGCCAGGATTTATGGCTGTCCGTAATGCAGGGGCTGGCTGGCTTCCTCCCTTCTGAGGGAGAAAATGGAAAATGAGAATTACTGGTGCTGAAAATAAGAGTATTTTTGCGGACAAAGGAACTATCGGTAGCATCGCTCGATTTAACGACGGCCCACGGGCAGCCTGGCCTGTGGGCGAGGTGTAGCCCGGGATGCTGTTCTTCGGCCTCGGGAATCGCAGCTGGGACACGCTGATCTCCGCTTATATTACTGAAAAGTGTCATTTCTGAGTTCCCTCTGTCTAGCGTGAGGGACTGGGTTAAACGATAAATGGATTTCCCATTTATCTTTGCCTGAATGATAAATTTTGTCCCAACATCTGACCAGTGGAGATGTGAGAGTACCCAGCGGTGGCGCTGCTGTGAGTGCCTCTTGTACGTGTGCCAGCCACAAAGGGCCCACCAAAACGTGACTTTATCTGGGCATACAAGTCCCACAGCACCATTCTGCTCCTTTGCTGTGCGAATGACCTCCCCAAGCCACGGGGAGCTGTGAAAAATCACAGGGTAGAATTCCAAGCAAGTTATAAATGTTATTATCATTACTTACAGCTTCACCATCATCAAAGTGTTTCTGCCTGCAAGGTCAGTTACCGAGATGCTGCTGTAAAAGGAACACCAGCAACTGAAGCCAGCTTATTTCTCTTGCTAAGCAGACCATTGAGAAGATTTCGCCTCACACGTTCAGTTCAGAAAGCAGCTCCAAAGTAGGGAGCCGTGGCAGAACCGTGCTCCTGGGGCTGCCAAACCACGTGTCTGGGGAATGCTAAAGGCTCGCACGGAGAGGTGGAGGTGGGGGAACCGCTGCTGCGGCTGCTGACCAGCAGCCACTGCTTCTGCTCGCCTTATCCCGGGGATCTAGCCAAGTATTTCAGCACATGCTTAACCCCGGGCTTGCAAACACACTGACCAAAAGTCAATAGAGCATCTTGCGTATTTGGAGGTGAACATCTAAATATTTATCTTTGTGGAAACTTATTTAGCAGTGAGGAGGGTGCGGGTTTGGGGGCACGCTCCAGGGATCTCCTGATGCCTCCTGCCTGACCTCGCGCCTCCCTGCGCTTGCGCTGGGTGCTGGGGTCCTGAGCCCCTCAGCAGGACCTCGCTCCTCCAGCCCCCACCTCGCTGTGTTTGAATGCCCCCGTAGCTCTAGCTGCAGGGTTGCTGAGGGCACACTGTGCCTCCTGGGGGGCATGGTACGAAGGGCCCGCCTCGGCAGAGGGGTGTTGTGTCCCTGCACCCAGGTGTCATGTCCCTGCACCCCTGCTGGGGCCTTCTGAATCAGTGCATTTCCCCACGAGGAAAAATCAGGTGAGGCGGTACCGAATCTGCTCGTGTTGTTTCTATGTAAAGCATCTTTACTCCGGCGTGGACAAAAGGGATGAATCTTTTCCCTTCACAGTTATGGCTTTCAATTATTGTTAATTATCTGTTTTCTTCCATAGAATATATCCAGTATTAACTGCAGTTAATAAATCAAATTGCTCTTAGAATCAAGATGGCTGCTTCCCTTCCTTCTACTATTAAAACGTTTCTCTTTCTGCGGGCAGGTTTCCTGGGTAATAACTTTATTTTATTAGAGTGCTCGCTCCCTTTTTTCTCTTCTGATAAATGCATGTCAAGGAAAAACATTTGCCTTTATGGTTCCTTTTCAAGAGCAAACTTAACAGTTCAAGGAAAGTATTTACTGAATGCATTGAAAAGCACATACCTTTGCATTATTTATCATGAGATACCAATAACTGTAATACGCAGAGTATCTCTGGACATAAATTAGTGATGTTAGGAACCACTGGAATCCTCCCTGTGTCCCGGAACCTATTAGGATCTGCAGCACAAGGGTAGGTGCTCGTCGCCTCCCCACTGCACGGGGCTCAGACAAAAGGCTCAATGAAATGCCGAATGCAAAGATCCAGCCCCTCCAAAATAAAAGCTGCTTTTTCATCTCCGATGTGCAGTAAAACATTACCTGTGGAATCCTCCAGATGTTCCTTGTTCCTGCCAGTCAATTGAAAACCATCTCAGTTTTAAGTATTATCTTTGAGGATTTCAGATTTGATCTCTGACTGAAACCCAGGTGTGTCGGGAAGGGCTCAGCCCTGATTATTCCCATGGAGCTAGCCTTCACTTTGAGGCCAGCTGATCTCTGGCAGAGGCAGATGTCCCTGACAGGGCACCCAAGGCCCTGGAGCCCTCATGGCTGGGGCTGAGGTGTGTGGCGCTGAGCACTGCACCCCAGGCTCATCGTGCTTTCTCTGCGGTTTGTGCTCCTGCCACCCGTGCTGCAAGGTCTGCCGCGTCCCTGGTCCTTTCTGAGCGGCCCTGACTTCCCTCTCAGGCAGCTCCACTGCAGCCACCTGGAGTTCACAGCTGAAAGTAGGTGCAAGATCGGGCTCAGGCTCAGCCAAAACAACAAAAATAGTCCAGCTTCCTGCAGAAATCCTGGGAAATGCGGCCACATGCACGGAGTGAAGCTGGCCAGTACAGCCCAGGTACCATACCCAGAACAGCCAGGCTCTCTGTAGCATCACAGCCAGGCACGCAGCCGTGTACACATGTACAGGCCCTGCCTTCAGCTTAACTGCAGACATTGCCAGAGCCTGAGCATTACTTTTTGGACCAGCTTCTCGTTTCACACGTCAGAGCTGCAGAATTATTTAATACGTCTGCTTAAAAATCTGCCCACTTACCAATTCACTCTACTTATTGTGTCCCAGCACATTACCTAACCATGTCAACATATGGATTTTTTTTATCTTGTTGCCTCGCATAGACAGCCTTATCAGTCTATTTTTAAATCTGGATGTGCTGCGGCAGTGGTATTGGTTTCAGCACTTGATGTTCTCCCTGTGCTAATAAATACGGATCAGCTATTAATACCGATTTTGCTGAGGCCCATTAGCATCGTTTGGCACAGCGAGCACACGGCGCTGCCGCCCCAGCCTGACCGTCGGACAGGCGCTGGCGCGGGTGCTCCCGGCTGCCTTCGCCCTGCGCTGCGCCCCGGGGTGCAGCCGGCCCCCAGCCCCATGCCGTGGCTGCAGGCACCTCGCCAGAGCTGTGTGATGTGCCAGGAGGAGCCTGGGGACAGAGAAACGGGGAACAGAGCCCCCGGGGATGGGGACACCACGGGGAGCAGCTAAAGGAGAGGGGAAGAGCCAGGCGTGCTGGTGGGGTGCCCTGTGAGGTGTGACCGTGCCGTGCCGTGTAACACAATGCTTGGTCTCAGCAATGCTTCCAAGCTTCTTCGGGAAAAATGAACTAATTGCTGCTTAAGGATCTGCTGTGATGGAGAGGACGGCGCTGCTGGCAGGCACACAGCAGCTGCAGTCGGGGCGAAAACAACAGACGCATCGGTAAAGGATTAAAAAGTAGCCGCAGAGGTCTGCTCCTGGAGGCAACACACAAACAAAAGGCCCGGCTGGGAGGGCGGCAGGATTTGTGCTGCCTGTGGGTTTCCCCCAGCTGTGGTCACCGCAAGCTGCTGCCCTGAGAGCTTCGACCGGGGCGTGCTCTGGGCTGTGCAAAGAAATAGGAATCCCTTCCGAGCGCTAAACCTCGTTGTTGTGGAGGGGATCCAGGCCTCCTTCTGTAGGTGGAGGAGATGGATGCACTGACTGTCCCAAAACGTGGACAAAATGTTCATCCTGAATGCGCCAGCAGCGACTTCCCGTGGTATTGCCTCAGTGTCTGCCGTAGAAATTCCCCGGGTGGTGCAGCTCGCCTTGTGGAACGCAGTGTACAGTTTCCTTAAGAAATAATTATCCGGAGTTGTTACATGCTGTGGTACAAGGGAAGCATCCACAGATAATTGATCTTTTTCGTAGCTGTTGTGAAAAGAAAAGGATGTGCTTTGTGTTTTCCTTCCTAGATTGAATTCAGAGAAATTATTTTTTTTTTATCCTAGCATTGCCGTGCGTTTCTCAGAGTTTTGCTTCATAAAGAGTGTGGAAAAAATAAAAAAATCCTCACTGTGCAGAAATCTGAATCTGGGGGCTGTGTTGGGCGTGTGGATGATAAGCGTGGGTGCAGGAAGGCTCACGGGTGCTCGGCTTCCTCGGTGCCGGGGGTCGGGCTCGCCGGCGTCTCGCAGGTGCTGACCCTTTCTTTCTCTCTCTCCTGCCACCCCCTCCCCAAGCATGCAAACGCAAAGAGCAGGAGCCGAACAAAGAAAGGAACAACTCCCAGAAGAAATCTCGTCTGGTTTTCACTGACCTCCAGCGCCGAACGCTTTTCGCCATCTTCAAGGAGAACAAGCGCCCGTCCAAAGAAATGCAGATCACCATCTCCCAGCAGCTGGGCCTGGAGCTCACCACCGTCAGCAACTTCTTCATGAACGCGAGGCGGCGCAGCCTGGAGAAGTGGCAGGACGATCTGAGCACCGGGGGCTCCTCCTCGGCCCCCAGCACTTGTACCAAAGCGTGACCGGGAGCGGCCGGCGCGGCGGAGCCACCGAGCCAGCGGATGCGCGGCGGGGCCCTTCACTGGTGACTTAAAGCACAATCCTCCCGGAGACTCGTCCTAGCCTACTGCAAACAGAGGACACTTTGTACGGCTTTTAGTCAGTTTTAGAAGGCGCAAGCGAAAAACTAACCTCTTTCTATGTAATACTATGCTCAGGACAGGCTAAGCAGGTCTGAAGGAAGAGAGCCGTTCGTGAGGCAAGTTTCTCCTGAGCCCCGAGCCCCGGCTGGCGGGCGCTGCGCAGCCCGGTGCCGCACCGCCCTGCAGCACCGCACCGCCGCGCCAGAACGGAGCACAAAGTCTGACACGGAGACGCTAAAGAGTCCAAGAACCTGTTTTTAAATCTCAGGCATGGTTTTGTTAAGTGTTCTAGGGAAAAAAAAAAAAAAAAAAGATCAAATTTACAGGTTTCTTTTTTTTTTTTTTTAGTTTCTTTGATTTAATCAGTGAGTATAGCTTGATCTTGGATCAGAAAAATTCAAGTCACTTGAGCTCAAAGTATCAAGCACAAAGACAATAGCTATAGAAATAGGTACGATCCTGGACTCACTACAGCTGTTATTTTTGAGATGCATTCTAATTTACAAAGGTGATAGCGAAAAAGTATGTGACTACACAAGTCTCAAGCACAGTTTGCAGTTTGTCACAAATTCTGTGTTTGTACATAATGCAGATGCACACTCAGGAGGTCAATTTAACTGCTACAGTACATGGAGCAAACACAACCTTTTGAAAGATCTAGATTTTTTTAGGTCATTAATAAGCCCTTTTCAGTTACCAGGAATCTAGTTTCTCCTTTGTAGTCTCATTGTTACTGAGAAGTATTTAGCGTTCAGTGTATTTTTGTTCATTTTTTTGAAAATCCTTATGGGAATTTTATGGTACTTTCAAGCAGGAAAAAAACAAACAAACACAAAGAAGCCCTTCAAACGTCATTGAGCACGTTAGATGTGCCACGTCTGACTTAAAGACGCCATCTAAGCCCATTACATTTTAAGTTCTTTTCGTCCACCAGTCCGTCGAAGCTGACGAGAACACAGCACACCAAAGAGACAGGATTTCTGCAAGCCAAAGATATTTGTAACTCGCCGTTTTCTTTTCGTCATCGTTAGCGTGGTCGTCCTTTTAGAGACCAGAAAGCCTCGCAAACGCCAGCCCGTTCCTCAATCTCTCACGGTCATTTGCTGTACGATTGAGCAGAAAGTGAGCGCTGACAAAAACACGGGAGCAAAGTCCCGAGCGGCGCGGCGGAGCTGTCCCTGTCCCAGCCGCCTCGTGCAGCCACGGCAGTCGTCGAGTAGCGAAGGCCGCAGCGGCCACGGTCCCTCGATGTGCGTCCTTACCAGTGAACGGCCCCTTCGGAGCACGGCCCGGGGTTCGAAAGCAAGCCAAGCGCTGTCATGCTTCTTTAGAGACACTTGAGACTTTTTTTATGTACTACTTAATCGAAACCAAAGAAACGTTTTCTGCACCTACTTCTTCTGCAACAAACTTGTTCCATTTAAAAAATAAAATAAAAATAAAAAAAAAAAAAAACAAGGAAGCACGTCAGGAAGCGAACAAGTAACACACTGTGTTTTGACAGACATCTTGGACATTTTAGGAAGCAGATTGCAAAGGAAGGGTTGACAAGAACAAAACCAACGTAAAGCCAGTATGATTGCTGCTTCATTTGACAACTCAGTAATCTTAAAGTTGAAGATTGTCTTTAATTTGTGCCTATGCAGTTTTTTTCAAAAGAACAAGGAACAGAGCAACCAAAACCTCAACAGCTACAATACCAAAGATGAGGATTCTCACAACTGTTTTTTCAGTTCATTATCTCCTCTTGCACGACTGAAATGCGTGTAGCACCATTGATCTGTGGAAAGGTAATCGATTCTGTTTCTTTGAGCAACACAAAGGGTGGGTTTATTTATGTTTTTCCTGTTTCTACCCCACGCGGAATCTCTCCAGGAGTTGCATGAACTCCAAGTGTAAGATGTTGGGATACTAAACTGGGACGTCTGCTCTAGCCGGAGCCACGTACAAAAAGCGTGTCTGTTGGATATTCCTTGTTTTGTCAGATAGAGTTGATCTCTTGTATGTTTAGAGCTTTGAACACCCATCCTCCTTTATGTGAAAACAGTTGAAATACCTATATCCCCTCTTCCTCATTCCCAGGGATAAAACTTGCAATATATGTACTGATTTATTTCACTGTAAGTGCTGAGCACCGGTACAGCCTGGCTTATTATGATCAGATCCTGATCTGAACCGTAACTGAGGTTTCAGCAATTCATGTGACAAATCAGGAATGTGTTTTGACATATTATTTTGTCACAGTCACGATGATGCAAATCATGACATGCAAACCAAATTCGGGAGCAGAGCTCTGCCCAGGGTATTATTTTGTTCCATCTCTACATTTAAATGAAAGTTCCTTTTTTAACTGCTTTGTCAAACTGCTGCAGTCATTTTCCATTTTTTACTTTTGAAAAAAAAAATAATCAAAAAGCCGTGCCTGCTCAGGACAGGAAAGTTTTGAGAAGTAAATTCAGGATCCTCGCAGCAGCTAAACTGACAGCACGTACCAGCTCTGGGAGTTAAAACTTCCTTAAACACAGATTTCCCAGACTGATCGAATGTGATTCCAAAAAGCCTCCTAGTCAGGCATGGAATAAAGTTGGAAAGAAGGCGGTTCAGGTCTGGGCTGGTGCATGCTGCCTCCAGGCGTGTGAGTTTGTCAGCACACGGCAGAGCGAGGGCCCGGCCGGGGGCTGTGGCCAGATTCCCTTTTTCCCTCGTTCACATCTCAGGGGTCCATGCCTCCCGGCCTCTACGTACACATGGTGAGCGTGGCATTGACCTCGTGGGAAATTTCTCATTCTGAAAGTTTTTTACTGCGTTTCGTAGCAGCCTTGTGCAATGCTGTTTTTCGGATTGCTTTTCTCTCATTCCATTCCATAACGCCTTTGTACCCATACAAAGAATGGACACGGCACGGGTTAGAAACCCTGAATGCCATTCCCCACCTTCCCTTAGCTCACTGCAATTGCAAGGCAGAGAAGTGTATCTCGGAAGAGCCAAGTCTGGGGCGTCACATCAGGAGTGTGCTTGACAGCCGGTGTCCCTGCCGCAGAGCAGGACTTGGGGTCACTTTGCATTAGGAACAGCCACAGGCTGGCACATTTAGCCTCTTGAGCACCACATGCCTTAGAGGCAAGGAGGAGCGTGTCCTGTTCTCATGGAGTTTATGAACAAAAACCTGTTCTTTTTATTTCATTTTAGAGTTCGTACCAATAGCTGTGACAAAGTACAGATCAAATACTGAATTATAAAAAAAAAAAAAGTATGAAATTATTAATTATCTCCAAACTGTGGAAGTTCTTGTTATGCAATATTATGACTTAAATTCTTGCCTTGATCTTGCAAATGTTGATCTGCAGCCTCACACTGGAAGCAACATAACTGTGTAGTACTGAGGAAGATGTTACTGCCCATACGACAGTATTTGTTTAGTGACGTGTGGGAGCCTTCTCTGTGCTAGGGATTGCAAATATAACTGCCCGTGTTTCCTTCGTATCTCTCAAAATTCATTTTCATCTGAACATCTGAAAATGCTGTTGCATTTTTTATCCCTGCATCTTTTGTGGCCCCATGTTGTCTTCCATTTCACTGTCACCTATTGTAGGCATTTATGTAGCAGCTGACTCAGAAGAGGAGTGTCGATAAAATATGCTGTGGGTAGATATATTTGTATGTACACACATACAATATATGCTATATTCTGTTCATACTTAAAAAAACACAAAACTCAGATATGTTGCGTTTATATACCATATATTTATGAATCTCTATAGCTATGTAATGTAACTTGTTCCTTTTATTTATTCTGATATGAGAGACTAGTTTGTACAGCCAGTATCCCAGCATCTTCCTTACTGTGAACTTGGAGTTACTATCATGGGCACATCCAAGATGAATTCAACTTTCAAGAAACCCTGGATATTATTTAATCACCTGTGAAGGAACAAAGAATGTGCTTGATTACTTCGGTTGAATAGCTTTATTCTGGATCTCTCTTAACTAAAGCTAAATCCAAAGACCTGAGAAGGACTAAACCAGCAAACTACTCTCAATCCTACGTGAGGGAATAGGGATCACCTCTTCCAAAACAAAATACGGTAATGACATGGTATTGGAAAGGGTGTGTTAGCTTTGGAAAAAAACAAAACAATGTTTTTCTTGCTTGTCACAATACGTACGTATTTTTAAGACACGAGGAAACTTTATACTTGGCCTCCTTTATATTTATTAAGGGGAATTTTTATTGTTTAATTTTTTTAAAATGCAAAGTTTAAAATGGTTTTATTTTTTTCCAGACACTTGTGGGTTTTAACCCAGTATATTATCTATCGGTAATGTAATTTATTTAGTTTAGCCTTAGAGTAGGTCCTGAAATCTCTGTTCAGTCTAAATCCCACCGAATTTCATTTTATTTTTAAAGTTCAATGGGAGTTTTGCCTGAAAGCAGACTACAGGATCAGGGTCAAATGTTAGATATTCAAAACTATTTAATTCCACCATTCATTAATTTGGGGTTAATTTTGCTTATTTATCCATTTTACTGTCTTAGTGCATCAGAGATGCAAGCCTATGTTAGTAAATACACTTAAAAATTAGTTTTGCTTCATAAAGCAGCCAAGTTCTGTTACAGACAGGAGGAAAATGACAAGTTACATAAAACAGGATTTTAATTTTAGGTTCTTCTTTTAATTGATTTTAATTGTTAAATATAAAAATTTAAATTATTTAAGTTAATCTCTTCCCATGTGATCAGAAAGTGCAACGTACCTTTATTATGGCACATAAAGACTTCATAATATAATTTATTTATTTAACTTATTCATCATCATCTAAGGATGCCCTTGTATAGTTTTTATTTTTTATTAGAATTACCTTTAAAGCACTACAGATTTTTTTTTGTCAGAAAACAGAGCAAATTTTGAGGACAAGCAATGAATATTCAACCTGAAACTGTGCATTCAGAAACAATAGGAAGAAAAGACACTGAGATACTTTGCCTGAACTTTGTGGCTTCTTAAACCTTAAGCTGGGGGAAAAATAATACATGCCAAGCAAAAAGAGAGAAACCCTTAAACTAGCTGCTTCCAAGAATGAACTTCTGTGTGTGTAAAAAAGAGAAAAAAGAAAAAAAAAGGAAAAAAGAAAAAAAGAAAAAACCTTTCTATTTCTAGTGAGAACCAAAGAGGCTACCTCACTGACTTTTTCCATTTGTAATTTTAATCGTGTTGATGATACCAAAGATACCAAAGATTTCTTTCTCTGTGCGGTCTGCATTTTGCTTGTGCTCTTTTATAGTTTTAACTTCTCTCTCCTACATACAGTAATGTACAGCTGCAACCCAGATACCCCAAAGAACTACTTCTCGTGGAAGCTGCTAATTCTGAGGATGCAATTTTCTGTGTTTACCTTCTGCCTTTCTGCCAGCCAAAAACGTCTGAGGCTGAGCGGAGCAGGCTGGGCGCCGTGAAGCCCTCGCACCCCTGCCCCTCTCACCGAATCCCAGTGGCCGGAGCACTGTGTTGGCCTGGAGATGGATGGGGGCGCGTTCAGCAGCTGAGTGCTTGGTGAAAGGCTGCTGCCCGCTGTGCACAGAGCTCCTGCTGGGGTGCCCGTGGCTCTGCTCTGGCAGCAGCAGGACGAGGTCAGGGCTGATGTGATGCTGGAAGGCAACGCAAGCGGCTGGTCCAGCAGCCCCCGGGCTAGCAAAGCCGCTGTGCACAGCCAGCCCAAAGGGGTAGGATTTGTCTAGCGAGTTCTGGCCAGCTGGAAAATAAGCATCAGTTCTGTGCTCACAGAGCCCCAGGCACTGGGAGGAGCGGCTCCTGTCCATCCTTTGACCTCCTGGAGGTGCCAGCAGCTGGGGAGGGGGGATGCTGAGGGAGGATGCTTGCGTTCAGGCTACCAAGGGCACATCGTTGTCCCTCAGCGCAGAGCAGGGATGTGGAAAGCAGCCTCCCCATGGCCCAAGGCACCCAGAACACCCCATGGGCTCCCGTCTGCCCAGCTGTGGCCTCCTCACACCTCTCCCTGGCTGTGTGCGTGTGGGCAGCGCCTCGGCTCGGTGCCGAGGTGGTTCCCGGCCTCCCTGCACCCGGCATGGGCGCTGCCGCCGGCCCTGTGCACGTTGCCGTTGTCATCGTTTACAGTTTTCAGATGAAAATCAATTAATTATTTTTCTCAAGGTAGCCGTGAAACAAAGATACATTAAGCTCCATTAGTCTCATGTTCCTAAGCGATTAGTTAAAAGTTGGCTGTTGGGGAGTGAGCGGTGCCCTTTGCTGCGTGTTCCTTGATCCCGCTGATAGGATTGAAGGCGCCGCCCTGGGAGCGAGGTGCGGCTGCTTCCACGCGGCTCCTTCCTCACACGGCCCTTCCCTGCGGGCACGGCTGGCTGCTCGCTGACAGCGAGAAGGTCTGCACGGGCCAGTAGATAGGCTAAAAGGAGAAAAAAGACGCTCATCCAGGTGCCGGGCACAGGGTTCTGGCCGAGCCATAAAGCCGGCCTGCAGCCCCTGGCCCT